GATTCAGCTCCCAAGGACGACTTTCTGGAAAACAGTGAGGGAAACCAGGACAGCATATTACAGCCTCCGATAACACCAGAGCAACAGCCCCTCTCACAAGACACGTTATCCCTCTCTCCAGCAACTCCACTTCTGTGCTTCTCAGAGAAAATGGAACAACTGGTGTTTGCTGGAACCAAACTATTCCACTCTTTTGCTGCAAGCCCCCAGATGTCAACCAAAAAACTGCAGGCCCAACAACCACCAAAGCCTGCGGGCCCAGCCCCTCCTCCTCCTCCTGTGAGAGCTCTTCGGCCTCTGCCACAGCGCCAGGGCTCACACCCTCCTCGAGCGGCTCGAGGTGAACCAAAAACAACTGATACCAGCTCTCAGTGATATGTGTCGGGTCCCCGCTATGATAACAGTAACTTTCTTAAATGTTTACAAAACAAGCGGGAACCCAGTGTGCCTGAATCTTTCTCTGTTGCTGTTCAATTACATGATAGAAAATCTAAGGCCTTCAAAAGCCGTACAGCAAACCCATCTAATCTGGTGCCTATTACACGCCAAACTAAGATCGCTGTGGGGACAAAAAGTAAGATAAGTTAAGTTAGCACTTTTAAACATCCGCTCACTTAAAAATAAATCACTTCTAGTCAACGACTTAACCACATACAACCTGGACTTTATGTTTCTAAATGAAACTTGGCTAGAAGACAGCTGCAGTGCAACAGTCCTCAATTAATCATCCCCTCCTAACTTTACTTTTATGAGTGTCTGCAGAGCGGGTAAGAGAGGCGGAGGCTTAGCTGCTCTTTTTAAAGATGTCTATCAATGTAAGCAAATATCATTTGGGAATTACCCGTCTTTCGAATATCTGGGTATTGTGTTAAAAGGTGCTCCACGTATTTTACTTATCATTATTTACAGGCCTCCAAAATACTCTCCAGCCTTTGCTGAGGACTTTACAGAACTGCTATCAACAATTTCCTCTGAGTTTGACTGTTTTGCCATTGCTGGAGATTTTAACATTCACATAGATAATGCAGAAACCAATATGGCAAAAGAAATCAAAACTGTTTTCAAAACTTTTGATCTGACTCAGCATGTACATGGACGCACACATAATCGTGGACACACTCTACATTTACTTATCAGTAAGGGTCTACACATCTCATCAATTGTTATTAAGGATGTAGCACTGTCTGATCATTTCTCTATTTTCTTTGATATATTGATCTCTCCTGCCATTGAAGCTAGATCTGTGTCTGTCAAGAAGAGATGCTTAAATGAGAACATTAGTGTGCTATTTATGAAGGCTATATCTTTAAAACCAAGCATATCTGCTGACTCTGTTGATTTTCTCCTTGAATCTTTTAACTCAAAAATTAAAAGTGTAATTGATGATATTGCTCCTGTGAAAGTCAGGAAAAATAGTGGTCGACAAAAAGCACCTTGGAGAAACTCAACAGCTGTGCAAAACATGAAAAGACAATGCAGAAAAACAGAGCGCATGTGGCGGAAGACAAAACTTGTAGTCCATTATTACATCTACAAAGACAGCATCCATGCTTTTAATATGGAACTAGGCAAAGCTAGACAGACTTCTTCTCGAATATTATAAACATCAACTTAAACAACACACGCACTCTTTTTGCTACTGTAGAGAGTAGAGCTGGGTTTCGATTCAAATTTCAAGAATCGATTCGATTCCGATTCTCAAGATCTTGAATCGATTATCATTATTCGATTCGATCCGATCCGATCTGATCCGATTTTCGAGATTTAGATATGAGTTTTTTTGTTTTTTTTCCAGCTGTTACCTGAATTACAGGACTGTAGTTATGCAACATATTGATACTATTAGGCTATTATAGACATTTAACTGCTTGTTTTGAACTTCATGCATGTTGAATGTTAAACAAGTTCATAATGATAACAAACAAGAATGTTTATCGTGGTGATGTGTATACAGAGGCTTCGCACAGACAGTGAATGAGAGAGATCGGCAGAGCGCGTGCGGATTACCTGCGTCTGTCTTTGAAGTCATATGTATTCGTGAAAAAGGTTGCCATGTCAAAGGAAAGCGAAATATTTGTCGTATCATCCTTTTAACGTTCACGTCACGGGTATTTTTACCATAAATGCGCGTCAGGAGCAGCGCTGGTCAGCATTCCACAGCGCGAGGAAGCCGCGGGGAAATAAAATCAGCGAGTCACGCATTGAATCAATGCCATATTGGTCTCTAATAAGTGAAGCATCAGCTTCAGCGTTACCCATGCGACGCATTGCTGCTCAGCTGAGCCTTGAAAAGTGGAACTCAAAGTTAAAAATAATTAACACCTTGTTTCATTACATCTCTTTTAATGAGTCAGCTTTTTTGAACGTGTTCGTTGAATGAACGAATGACTCACTCAAAGCCCGTTGTTGTAACAGTGTGCGCGCTGAGTGAAAGCCTTTCAATGCGCATACAGGGATCTCCCAGTCGCGGCAAGTTAAAGTTCCTATTATTAAATCGATCCTCTGAGTTACGGATCGATCTTTAGAAATTAATATGAAAATCGATTCAGAATTGGTGAATCGATTTTTTCAACACAGCCCTAGTAGAGAGACTGACAAACCCCCCAAGCCAGATTCCCAATGAAATGCTCTCAGACAGCAAGTGCAGTGAGTTTGCTTCTTTCTTCTCTGAGAAAATCAATAATATCAGAAAGGTGATCAGCTCATCCTTGAGTTGCGCTGGGGTCAAACCGATCAGACCACTACCTGAAAAAGTAGTTACTATGTCTGTTTTCGAAGAAATTGATGGCAAAATTTTGGAAGAAACCGTACAGCACCTTAAAACATCAACCTGCGCCCTTGACGCACTTCCCACTTCTTTTTTCAAAAGTGTGTTAAACAGTTTAGAAGCAGATCTCATAAAAGTGGTAAATGCCTCACTTCTCTCTGGGAGTTTTCCAAACTCCCTGAAAACTGCAGTTGTCAAGCCCCTCCTGAAAAAGAGCAATCTGGATAAGACCACCTTAAGCAATTATAGACCGATCTCAAATCTTCCTTTCATAGGCAAGATCATTGAAAAAGTTGTCTTCAATCAGCTGAACAAATTCTTAAGCTTGAATGGATACTTTGACAATTTTCAATCTGGTTTCCGATCGCATCACAGCACAGAGACAGCACTCATAAAGATAATAAACGATATTCGCTTAAATACTGATACAGGGAAATTATCAGTGCTGGTACTACTCGACCTCAGTGCTGCATTTGACACTGTCGATCACAACATACTTCTTGACAGGCTGGAAAACTGGGTGGGGCTTTCTGGGATAGTCCTAAAATGGTTCAGGTCATACTTAGAAGGGAGAGGTTATTATGTGAGTATAGGAGACCATAAGTCTGAGTGGACATCCATGACTTGCGGAGTCCCTCAAGGCTCAATTCTTGCACCACTCCTGTTCAACCTGTATATGCTCCCAATGAGCCAAATAATGAGAAAGAACCGAATCTCTTACCACAGCTATGCAGACGACACACAGCTCTACTTAGCCCTATCGCCTAACGACTACAGCCCCATTGACTCCCTGTGCCAATGCATTGATGAAGTAAACGGTTGGGTGTGCCAAAACTTTCTTCAGTTAAACAAAGACAAAACTGCAGTCATTGCGTTTGGAAACAAAGATGAAGTTCTCAAGGTAAATGCAATCAAGTCAGGAATCTTGGTGTGTCTCTAGAGTCAGATCTTAGTTTCAGAAGTCATGTCAAAGCAATAACTAAATCAGCATACTATCATTTGAAAAATATTGCAAGAATTAGATGCTTTGTTTCCAGTCAAGACCAGCAGGGTGGATTATTGTAATGGACTCCTCACTGGCCTTCCTAAAAAGACCATAAGACAGTTGCAGCTCATACAGAACGCTGCTGCCCGGATTCTGAGCAGAACCAGAAAATATGAACATATCACACCAGTCCTCAGGTCTTTACACTGGCTCCCAGTTACATTTAGGATTGATTTTAAAGTATTATTACTGGTATATATCATTCAATGGCCTAGGACCTCAATATATTGCAGATATGCTCACTGAATATAAACCCAACAGATCACTCAGATCATTAGGATCACATCAGCTAGAAATACCAAGGGTTCACTCTAAGCAAGGAGAGTCTGCTTTTAGCTATTATGCCAGCCGCAGCTGGAACCAGCTTCCAGAGGAGATCAGATGTGCTCCTACAGTAGTCACTTTCAAATCCAAACTCAAAACACATCTGTTTAGCTATGCATTTACTGAATGAGCACTGTGCTACTGTTCGTCCGACTGTTTTTACTGTACTTTATTTTATTTTTTTATTTTAAACTGTTTTAATTATTCTTATTTGTTTTGATTATTTTATTTTCTCCTTTGTAAAGCACTTTGAATTACCATTGTGTATGAAATGTGCTATATAAATAAAGTTGCCTTGCCTTGCCTATATCTCGGCAGCACTATAACTTGTCAATTTTTTAATGACATCATTGCACTTATTTCTTCTCATTCTTTTGATGCGTGTAGCTCATTTTTGGGATAATTTTACCTCAATTTTTACATAGGGCACCTTTAACGCATTATAGTCCTTCACGTCTACTGCGATCTCAAAATTCCGGCCAGTTGATAATACCTAGAATATCTAAATCGACTGCTGGCGGTAGATCCTTTTCCTATTTAGCACCAAAACTTTGGAACAGTCTTCCCAACATTGTCCGGGAAGCAGACACACTCTGTCAGTTCAAAGCTAGATTAAAGACACATCCCTTTGACCTAGCATACACATAACACACTATAGACTTCTATAATTCAATGTTAGGCTGCATAGATTAGGTCAGCCGGAACTGGGAACACTTCCCTTAAATCCTGATGTACTCGTTACATCATAATAAGGATGGTATCTACACTAATTTAGTGTCTTTGTTCATCCCGAGGTTTTCCTGCAGCCTGTTTCTAACATGAATGTTCTTCAGCATCATGAATGAATGAGGAATAAACACCAACCTCTTTGTTCTTCAGGATCTTCAGTGTGTTTCATTCTGCAGGTTCTGGATCACTCGTGATCACTGTCCTCTTTAATAAACTCAGTCTTGGCAGATTTCAGCTCTTCCTGATGCTTTCATGCTCGTCTTCACTTGCAGCGGATGGGAATTTACAGCATTTATTGGTGAATTACTGTGGGAGGAGCTTCACTGATGATGTGATTGCAGTGGGAGGAGCTTCACTGATGATGTAATTGCAGAGGGAGGAGCTTCACTGGTGATGAATTCCAGCGTGGGAGGAGCTGATCTGCCAAAATCAAAAATATAAATTACTGAGTTTTGTTTTTATAAGAAATGACACTTCTAAGCATTTATGTCTGTCTATAGATAGATCTATTCATCGTACAGTAACTGAGGCCAATTCATTCATTATTTTTATTGCTAATCCTAACATTATTCTGCTTCTTCATTAAAATACAGGTATCTAGAAATATAGAAAAGAATATAAATAATATAAATTATTCCAAATATAAATAATGGTAAGAAAAACAGTTAAAATCGTAAACAGAAATAAACTTATAGTAGCCAACAAATCCCCTCAGTCTGCTGACAGTGACACCAATGAAATGAGCTTTAAGTGACAATTTTCAGGAGATCTGAAGACATCAGCATAATAAATGAGGTGAAAACAGGAACTATTGTCATGAAATAAAGAGTGTTTTCAGCAGATCTGTTAATATTGATGATCCTCAGACTATCAACACTCATTCAACAAGCCATTCAGGATCATCAGCAGATCATCTCACTTTATTCTGAGTGTTTGCTGTTAGAAACACATTATTTGAGTATATATAAAATATATGTTTGGGATATAAAAGCCTATAAAACTACTGCTATACTGAAAGGCAATACTCTTATTTCTCACAATATGACATGGATAAAACATAAATAATATAAAAACAAATCAATAATGACACTTATCTTCATAAACAACTACAGATAAATAATTACAGCAGCATAATATGACCAAATTAATCTAAATATAGCTAGTTTGATCTTATGATAGCTACATTAATCACTATAAAGTAGTTAGATCATTAAAATAATACCAGAAACTGTTAATTATTATAAAACTTTTAAAAAATAAAGAGCACCACAAAGCACTATTGTTCCAAGAGTAAAACGCTTTTCATATTAGTATTGACTAATGTCTCACGTGGCTCATCATAGGCTCAATGTAAAGCATTTAGCATTATCTGTTCCAGTATGGCACTTGTGATCGATTCACATTAATTCCCCTCACAGATCTTAAACTTTGACTTTTGACTTGACGAAACAAACACACGTATAAAAGCACACACAATCTCTCCGGTCTGACTGAACTCCACATATTCTCCTCAGGCTCGCTGCTGCTGCACTAAATGTGTATTTCAGGAGGAAGACGCCAGAAAAGACGCAAGTATCGCTGTGATCGATGAAAACAATACAGAAATGAGTCTGTCGCTTAATCAAACTGTATAAAGTGTGTGTGATGGTTGTGTAAAGATGAGAAATACCGTGAACTGCTCTCCTCAGAAGACCCCTCGCTGCAGCCTGTAGTTTTGGTGACGTCATATACGCATGCGCAGTACCGATCTCTGGTTATAATTCGCATGCGCTGGTCTTAAGTGACATGTATGCTCAATATTGTACTGAGATTATGTTCTCTAACCTGTATAGTAGTACTGTTAAATAGTTATAAGTAATTATTGATGAATAAGTCATTATTTACAGAAATGGGATGCTTAAGTTATCCAAGTTTCACTTTACATAGGCTACATGCAAAATAGTTTATTTTACAACATTTTAAATCACATGATTTTTAAACCTAAATTTGATAGATTAATAGCATGTCCTCACCACAAGTATTTGTTTTTTAATGCGTGTATATAGAGCATTTTAAAATAAAGCCATTTTATTTTATTCAGGTCATATTTGCTGTTAAGTGGAAGCAAAAATGTGTCAAGCCTAATTGTCACTGTAATTTTAAAGGTACAATACAATAAGGTCTGTAAACATCTTAAAATACCAGTACACATTCAAGGGAAAATGCAAAAATAATAACAGCATCAAGAAAATAAATCTTGTCAGATGTAAAAAAAAAAAAAGTGCTTAATGATATTTTGCCTGGTAAAACTTCCTTCTTTACAGTTTTTCTCAAATGCTAAAACACTAAACCCTATTGTCTGAACCAAATGCTCAGTTGCCTGAACCCACTGATTGAATCAATCACTCTTTTGGCAAAACCATAAGCACTTTTCACCTGTTTAGACACAACTTGCCAACACATTTTCATTGTGATGCACCCGTGCTGCATAATGGTGAGCACAGGTGACAAAAGTCAAACACAATTAAAGCACAGGTGTCACCACTTGAACACAACAACTCAAAATTGATCACACTTGTGGCTAATGATGTGAGGGAACATATACAGTAAGCCAGTTCAGAGGGCACTGGTTTGTGAGGCTCTACAATGGATAGAAATCTGAGAGGAGGAATTCGTGTGAGAGGAGGTCGAGGTGGTCAGCGAAGACAAAGAACAGTAATATCTGATGAAATCAGAGCTACTGTGATTGACCATGTTCTTGTCCATGGTATGAGGATGAGGGAGGCTGGACAAAGGGTACAACCAAACATCAGTAGATTCACTGTGTCCACCATAATCCGAAGATTTAGAGAAGAGAACAGGTAATTACCTTTTTTTTTACATTATATACAGTATGTAAATGTTGACAGCAATTACTGTATGACATACTATATACTATACCACAGTATACTGTAAGTAAATATATGTTTCAGTACATCACTGTACCAATGTACTGTAGTATTGTAATGGAGGGTTGGTCTAACTGTTGTAGGCCTAGTATTCCATGTATATTTTTTGTAACTCCATGTTCTCTCTTTGTAGAATTGAAAGACCGCCACGTGGGGGTGGGAGGACAGGTATGTTCTCCCCACACCAAGAGACCCTAATTGTTGATATGGTCCGTGAGAACAATGCCATTAAACTGAGTGAAATTCAGCAGAAGATCATTGAGGACCATGTAAATTTTGAGGGTATCAACAGTGTCAGCCTCTCTACTGTTGATCGTGTCCTCAAGCGCAACAGAAACCGCTATACAGAGTCAAAGAGCAAAGATTCCAATATGTACAGGTTGGCATATATCCAGACACATTCAATGTTGATTACTCTAGGTAGTGATTTACTGTAGTGGCCTAAATCACTTTTTCCGTATCACTTACAAAACGATATCTATTTCTACAGAGGGTTTTTCAACTGGATGCAATGGAAAGACCCCATGAATACATCTACATGGATGAAGCTGGGTTTAATCTCACCAAAAGGAGAAGGAGAGGCCGTAATGTGATTGGCCATCGGGCCATTGTTGGTGTTCCTGGGCAGCTTGGGGACAATGTCACATTGTGTGCTGCCATCAGCAATCATGGGGTTGTCCACCATCATGCCAACCTGGGGCCCTACAACACTCACCAGCTCCTCATTTCCCTCAATCACACGCGAGATGCTCTGTTAGGGCAGCAGGAGGAGCATCCCATCTATGGTATTGTTTGGGACAATGTGAGTTTTCACAGAGCCCTCCAGGTTAGAGAGTGGTTCAATATGAACCAAGGTTTTATCAATCTTTGCCTTCCACCGTCCTCCCCTTTCCTAAACCCCATTGAGGGATTCTTCTCCTCATGGCGGTGGAAGGTATATGAACGCCAACCTTACACCAGGGTCAATCTACTGCAAGCCATGGGACTCGCCTGTGGTGGCACAGGTGTGGAGGCATGCCAAGCCTGGATACGGCAAGCCAGGGGTTTTCCCCGTTGCCTGGCCAGACAAAATGTGGCCTGTGACGTGGATGAAGTCCTGTGGCCTGACCCAGTACGGAGACATGATGCTGTGGCTGAGTAATGCACTTATTTGTATATTTTTGTACTTTATTTTTACATGGGCGTACTGTACACAAGTGGCAAACGCATAAGATTTCTGTTTGATTTTACAAGTGCTACGTGTAAATGCACAAGATTTCTGTTTTGTCTTTTTGTACAAGTGCTAAATGCACAGTTTTTTTGTTTTGCAATATGCATTTAGCCTATAGTGAACAATAAACATTTATTTCTCCAGCTTCATGTCCTGAGCATTGTGTTTTCTATTTTTCTACGTAGTGTTTAGTGACTGTTCAGTAGCGTTTTTAATTTTGATTGACTCGGGGCACGATTTGACAACATAGTTCAGTTTTGAGCACAGATTGAACTGTTTTGAGGTGAAAGTTTGGTTTTGCAAGAAGAGTCTGAGGTTTTGTGAATATAGCTTGAAAATTGGGCTTTGTGTTCACAGTTTGGAGAAAAGGAGAGCAGCTTTCAAGAAATGTGTCTTAGCAATCGAGAAAAACTGTAATGGCTATGCTCGTTTTTCCACAGTGATCTGTAGCCTACATAAGGTTCCTGTTAATTTGCTGTTTAGTGTCTGCAAGACATGTCTATGGTATGGAAGCTTGTTTTCGCCACAGAGTGAGAAATAAAAAAGGTAATTGTGACTTCTCACTATTCTGACTTTTTATCTCAGAATTGATATAAAGTCACAATTGCAGGTTATAAATTCAGAATTGCGTGATATAAAGTCGCAATTGTGTGTTATTAAGTCAGATTTGCGTGATATAAAGTCGCAATTGTGTGTTATTAAGTCAGAATTGCGTGATATAAAGTCGCAATTGTGTGTTATGAAGTCAGATTTGCGTGATATAAAGTCGCAATTGCGTGTTAAGTCAGAATTATGAGATATAAACTCGCAATTGGGAGGCTACTTGAAATTCTGACTTTTTTTCTCAGAATTGAATTATATATCGCAATTCTGACCTTATAATACGCAATTGGGAGATTTAAAGTCAGAATTGCATGATATAATGTCGCAATTACGTGTTATAAAGTCAGAATTGTGAGATATTAAACTATACTATTGTAGGGAACTAGGATCAATATAACTCAAAGGGTGATTGAATTACAGTGAATAAGAACCTAATTTACTTGCAAATTATTCAGA